CATACAGATACCATAAGGAGTCAGAGCAGGGCCCAGGTTCTCCATTCTGCCTATAGTGACCACAGGCTGTACTGGGTCTGCAGCTCCCTAGCTATTACTTCCTGCTGAAGTCTCTGATTTCCCTTTGTTCAATATTTATTTTTTAAAATAGAGACCATTGGGTTTTTTAAATTTTTATAAGATGTATTTATTTATGCATATAAAAGTTGGGGTGTAGGCCAAAGGTGCAGGGGGTGAGAGGATTCACCAGAGACAGAGTGGGGAGCAGAACAGGCAGATGTATGGAAATATACTGCTGAGGGGAGCAGCGGGCAGGTCAGGAGAGGTCTACTGCACCTTGTGGGTCACCGCTCTGGCTGGGGATCGAACTCATGTTACAGTGGCTGCCATAGCTTCATGTGGGTCACCTCCCGGGCAGGGATCAAACTCGTGCTGAAGAGGCTGTGGCTAGCTTCATAGTGTTATGCTTTAACCCACTGCGTCACCTGGAAGAGCCCTCAAAAGTTATTTAAGAGCAGTTTTATTTTTGTTGTTCAATGGTTTCAATGGTTTCAATGGTTTCAATGTTCATGTATTATAAGTGGTCCATATGATTTTTCTTTCCCAGATATGACCTCACTCATCAGAGAGACTGTTCGGTTTCAGTATGTATAAAGAATGAGCATTTGATGAGTATGCAGTATTTCTGTGTCTTTCACATCATTTGACATTAAACATTGTATTATGATGAGTCTCCCAATCACCAGTAACCAGCCTAAAAGACAGGAGACCACTCCAAGCAAGGACTGACTGGTTCCTGGAGGGCAGTGCTGTGTGAAGCTCCTGTAAAATGCTGAGGAAATCTGTCATGTCACCATTCTATCCTAGTCATTCTGCTGGGCTGATAGCACCCTCCAAGATCACACCCTGACAAGCAAGAATCCCATTTGTATTGATGTTTATGTTTTATGCACTTTTTACTTTGGAAATGCTTTAAATATCATGGCTGTTTATGCCAATTCACTGCATTTCAATCTTTTACACCCTTACTTATACAACACCATTTACCCATTTCAGTGAAATATATTCCCATCTCCTATTGTGGTAAGATTTACTAATTCATTTCTAAGTGTTGAATATTTATATATATCAGGTAACAAGAGTCCTAACCATGTGGCTTCAAGGTGACTCCCTTGTCAGTATCCTTCTGTAATGCTTTTCTCCATCTTATCTGAAATACTATCTCCACACCTTTATTTTTGGTAGCACTTGCATGGTAAGTAATTTTCATTTTTGTTTACCACTCTATGTGTTGAAGCCAACAGCTGTTTCTTTTTTTATTTATTAATTTTTTTTAGCACAAGCAAAAGCAAAGAATAACTAGGAGCTAGAATAACTAGGGATTGGCAGGGGGCTCTTATCTTAAATGAGGGGCAGGAGTTGCTCTTCCATCCCTCTGCTTCTGAGGAACTGGGTTATTGGTCTAGGCAGCAGTTCCCAAGTCACTCCCCTTGCTTTCTCCTTTCAGTCAGTAGATACATGGAGGGCTTCCTTCGACTTTCTGCCTTTGGCTTTCTCTAATAAGAAAGTACTATATTTTTTATGACAACGTTAAAATTGTTCTGTTCATGTGAAAAGGCATTAAGGCTAAAGAAAAGATAGTTGAACAAATAGTAGCAAATAGATGAAAATTAGCTGCTGGGGCAAGAGATTTTTGCATGCACTCCTCACAGCATCCTTAAGTTAGCACAGCAGCACAAGGAAAAGGCTCATTCATGGCAGGTCTGCAGCAGGGCTGGCCAGGGTTGGAACCCAAGTGACTCTGACTCACCCTCATGCTCTGCCTGGGTCAGTTACTCAAAAATGCCATGTGCTGGGTCCTCCCTGGTGGTGCAAGTGGTTAAGTATCAGTACTATCAAGCTAACACCAGCCACTCCAGCATGCATTCATCTCCAGCCAAGTAAGTGACCCACATGGCAAGAGAGAACTCTCCTATCTCACCCACTGCTCCCCTCAGCAGTGTATTTCAGTAGATTTGCCTGCTTTGTTCCCCACTGTCTCTGGGGAATCCTCTCATCCCCCCACACCTCTGGCTGACAGCCCAGTTCTTGTATGCATAAATAAAAAGAAATCTTAAAAATAAAAGCCATGTGTTCTATAGAAGGGATCCAAAGGTAGACAGAAAGACCTACCAATAAGCAGGGTCCTCCTTGAGGAGAGCTCGCTCTTTGGGAGACAGGCTGCCTCCGACGACACGTGAGACCAACTGATCGATGGTGTCTACCACCTTGTGATCTGCTCGTTGGGGTGCTGCTGCAACACACAAGAAAGGGTTTTCTGAGAAACAAGCATGGCCACGTGAGGCTGAGGAAGTCAGGGCTTAGGATGGAGCCTAAGTAGGTACCCACAACTGAAACCTTCATTCCTGATGGATCAGCATGGAAAAGGGGAAGGCAATGGGTGATGCTCTAGAAACTAATATGCAAAATACCCTCCCAAAGGCTGTAACATAACCACTGTGGGGAGAGTCATAATGATAGTACAGAGTGATGAAAGTACATATTCTATGGAAGGAAATGGTACCACTTTTCATACCACTCAACCTGAATGCTCACAACAATAAAGGAAAATATAAAGACATAAAATGTACATAGATACAAAACATATTAAAAAAGTATCTAGGTCATGATTCCCCAAATGAAGGAGGGAAAAAAAGATATACACACACACACATACACAAGGACACAGAAAAGACTGGAAGGAAATAAACCAGACTGCTAACAGAAGTTACATATGAGTGGTAGACTTATCCAGGATTTCACTTACTTTTGCTTTACTTATAAAAAATAAGTGCATGAATCAACTATCAGAAAAATTCCCTAATTAAAAAAGTCAGTAGTCATAGGAATGTGTTTGTGAAAATTATTTGTTGAGTGTATAAAAATGCTTTTCAAAGTGTGAATTTTTCCCTTTAAGACTGACGTCACCAGCAACACAGAAGAACATCTGTATTCTCAAGTACTAAGGCCATTTAGTCTTCTGATATTTGCTATAGCCTGTTTACTCATTCAGTAAAATTCAGTCAAACCTAACTGGGGTGGGAAGAGTACACTGGACTGTGGAGATGGCACACAAGTGAACTGATGGTGGGAAGCCCATGGGGATCACAACTGAGATGAAAAAATGCATAAAATGAAGAATGATGTAAAGAAATAAAAAACTGGAAAAAAAAATTCAGTCAGACCCAGAGAGGTTTTCCATTTGTTCTGTGGAATACCTGTCCAGTTCTGTCTCTATCTGTGCCCACATGGTCGCTCTGAGTTTACTTTAAGCATCAGTGTAAGCACTTTACAGAGAATAAGTTGATCCTTCAGTGGTCATATTATTCCAAGTATTTCCCTAGCAAAACTGCATTCTTTTTTGGTTGCTGCTAGTTTTAGGTAATTTTACAAAAAGAATAAGAGGTTCAAAGACAAGAAATTGAAAGATAATGAAATCTATGAATTGCTGCAACTGTTTCTATAGAAGACCATAAGCTAGGGTCATTAAGCAGGCAACAGAAATATTCTCCTGAGAAGTCTTTTTTTTTTTTTTTTTAACTTATTTTATTTTTTACACAGAACCGGGGTATAGGCCAGAGGTACAGGGATTAAGAGGATTCACCAGAGACAGAGTGGGGAGCAGAACAGGCAGATTCACTGAAACACACGGCTAAGGGGGGCAGTGGGCAGGATAGGAGAGATATACTGAGCCATAGATGGTTAGTTTCCTGGCTGGGGACTGAACTCAGGCCAGAGGTGACAGTTCTGAGACTTAACCCCTAGGCTACCTGGGAGGACCCTGAAAATCTCTTTTAAGGGATAATTTTATTTTATTTATTTTTTTAAAGATTTATTTATTCATACAGAACTGGGGTATACAGGCCAGAGATGCGGAGGGTGAAAGGATTCACCAGAGACAGAGTGGGGAGCAGAACAGGCAGATTGAGGAAGTACACTGTTGAGGGGAGCAGCGGGCGGGTCAGGAGAGGTCTGCCATGCCATGTGGATCTCCTGAGGGGCAGGCAGGGATCAAACTCATGCTGCAGTGGCTTTAGCTTCTTAGTGCTGTGCTTTAACCCACTGCGCCACCAGGGAGGGTCTTAAGGGGTAATTTTAAAATAAAAAAAAAATACTACTACTAATAGAAAATTAACCAAAGATGCTATCCAAGCAATAGAAGTAGCGCAGGGCAATTATCTGTGAGACATGGGTGCTCATGCTGTCAACCTGCTGTCCAGATAAGAGCTAAGGACACCAATCACATGGGAATCTAGCTCTTGCTGACTTCAGAAGTAGAAATTCAACATCAAGGGAAAAGTGAGACCATTTATGTGAGGTGACTCAGGATCATGACTGCAGAAAGTACTGTGAAGAGAAAAGCCTGTGACAATCCTGGGAAAGGGGGAGGGCGATAGATGCCTTGAGGTTCATGCTGACCTTTTCTTCCTCCATCCACCATGCTAGTATGACTGCTGAAGTGACTGTCCCTCTACCATGCTGGGGAGATGCACATATGGGGAAGAGAATCCCATTTCTGGAAGATTCCCTGTCTAAGGGTGGCTGCCCATCCATGAGTGACCTAACTAGTGCCTAGGATAGCCAAGGCTCTACAAAGTGCCCAGGAGTCAAAAGATTCAGGATAAAAGAAATATCCCTGCATGATGGGAAATGGAAACTGAAATCCACATGGGGAGTAATGAGGGCAAAGTCTTCCTCACTGGTCATATGATCAGTACATAAGTTCATGGGCTTTGAGATTCTGGGCTGTGAGCGCATCTACCTGGGGTAGGGGGAAAAAGAAAACCAGGCAGCCAGAAATCTCTTTCCTACTACCCTGGTAAACCAACTTGTTAACTGCATGTTACCAGATGTACCTAAGTCATCTACCAACCTTCAGCCAATCTGGAAGAGTGAGCAGGTGGAAAGGTGCCTCCTATCTGGATCGAGGTACTGACCCCTGCTTATCTTCTACATAGTTCAGCATGGTCTACCTTACTTCTGGGTTGGACTTGAGATTTCTTCCTTCAAGAAATAGGGATCCCTCAAAGAAGTACTTGGAATTTATTCTTCTTCTGAGTAACACCTACGGGACTGCTGAAACAGGGCTTTTTAGCCGTGACTGCAGTAGAGTACAACCCCCTCCCAGAAACGCAGAAAAACTGTGTGTAAATTCATGCACATTTTTCCTAATAAGGGCCACAGCTGTTTGTCATATCCCAAGGGCATCTGCAACCCAAAGTGTCTAAGGACATCTATAGTTAGACAGAAGATTCCTGATACACGTTTATACAATTAATGGTACAATGACCAATGCCAACTTTCTACAAAAGTTTTGATTTGTTTCCAATTGGCTAAACAAATTCCATGAGAAAAATCTGATAATAAGAGACACTGCAAGAAGACATGAAAAACAACAAGAAGACATGAAAAACCAACCACAGTAAATAGAAACTTTCATTGCTTTTCTTACCGTCACTCAGAATACTTGGGGTCGTGGGCTGCATTTTGGGTTTCAGAGAAGGAACCATTCTCTCCTCCTCATGAAGGGGCTCAGGTTCAGCCTTCTTGACCTGGAGTGGACACCCACTGCTGACAAGCCAGGCCTTCAGGTGTTCTATATACTCTCGCCCAAACAAAGTGGAGTCCTCAAAGTTTGGAAATGCAGCAGGAGATGGAGCTATATCTTGTAGGCCAACAGCATCTAAGATCTTCTCTTGCCGGAAAGAAGAGGCCAAGGAGAAGGTCTGTCCCAAAAGGGCCAAAGACTTCCGGCAAAGGGAATTTGTGGTCTCTAGGGCAACAGCCAAGTCCAGGGGGTTGCTGAGGGTCTTCATTTTGACACTCAGCTCATACGCATTGCAGGCCATGAGCAAGGGCGTAACACTCTTCAGGAGTCGGTCTTGAAGCCTCATGATGTACTTGTCGAAAGGCTTTATGATTTCAAAAAAGCAATTTTTGGTTTTTACAGCACCTTTGTCTAAAAGCATGTTTAAAAACTCGTTATCAACTCTGGGTGTTTTCAAAGCAGAGTGCTTTAAAAATTTGATAGTAAAAAAGCAAAAATCTCTGTGCTCTGGTTTTAAGGAACATTTGAACGAGGCCAGCATTTTAGCACAGGTTTCAGTTTCAAGCTCAAAGAGAGTCTGGAAAAGCTGGGAAAATTTAACATCATCTTTTATGGTGTGGAATCCTGCCCATTTAATTATTTCTATTCCAAATCTTGAAAAAACATCGGTCTTATCTATGGGGTCGAAGCTCATCTTCCTCCTGGAAAGCCGAATATCCTTCAGATTAAGACCTAAAGGGATCTTCTGAGTGGGGAACTGGATGTCTTCTGTCCCTGGGTTTGTCCCCAGAGTCACATCAGGACTTGGGGTGGTTTTCTGGATTTGATTAGTGCCCTGAGTTTTGGGGGTCACACGATTTATAGTGGGTATTTTTTTTGTGCTCACACTTCTCAGTGTGACACGTTTCCCAACCCCTACTTTTGGCATGAGCAGGCCCTGAGTCTCCCCCTTTCCCAGGAGGGCACCCTCCTGGTCAACCATTTTGAGACCTCGGCCACTGCCCCTGAGCAAAGAGTCTGCCTCTCCTGGATGGTCGATGTCATAATCTCGACTCTCCTTCTCCAGACATTCTTTTTCAATTAGCCTGGAGGAAGCAAAGCTCCCAAGTAGTGTTGAAGGACCAAAGCTATACTCCTGTGACCAAGAGGATTCTTGAGAAACTGGGTGGCCAAAGTCCTGTTCCCAAGAACCACGGAGTGCAAATTTCCAGTCCTGAGAACGAAAGTGTCCCAATTTCCGGTGGCCAAAGACCTGGTCTCGGGAGTCAGGGTGGGAAAATTCCAGATCCCGGCCACACTCTTTGCGAAAGTAATTGTCATCACTTATAGAAGGATTGCTTGATCTGAAGGAGGGTCCTGGAAAGACTTCACCTCTAAGGCCTTCTCTCCCACTGTCTCGAGGGTGAGCTATGGACCCACTAAGTGAGTACCTACTATCGCCGTGAATGTCATCACATACATCTGCTCTGGTTCTGGGGACTGTCCTTAGAAGATCTGAAATAAATCATCCAAAAAGAAACACAAAGGTACTTTAGATCAGAGGTTGCAAACAGATGGTCCTTGGATCCTAGCCAGGAGGAATACTTTATCTGTCTGAGTACATATTACAAATTCATAATTTGTCACCAACATTTAAAATGCATGTGGTTTCACTTAAAAATCTGATTTGCTACTTATAAAACAGAAGCCTTGCAAGCACTGAGTTTGCAGCTGCCTGATGAAGGTGTAGCAAGCCAAGCAGTAGGCTATTCAGGTATCCTGCCTTGGCTCTGAGAAATCCGTTCATATTCATTCTTACATTTGACATTGCACCCTTCACACCAGCACCTGACAAAAAACTAGATGACATATTCTCTCACAAGGTCCACTGGGCCAAAAAAATCTATGAAAAACAGACTGAAGCAGAGAAGAGGGAGGACACACACTAAACAAAAAGCATGAACTTTTATCCTCATGTGTAGAAAGAAGAAACACAGGGCAGTGTATCTGTACTTGTTCCTTCACATAGAGACTGTCAGACACTAAGAATACAAGTGAACTACAGACAAACAGGCAGAGGAGTCTGAAAAGACTTAGCATGGGGGTTTCTAACCCCTAGCTAGAACCCATAACCCAGTCAAAAAGCAAAATGAAAATTAAGGGATGAGAGAAGACAGAAACAGGTCACAGGAAGCCAGAGACCATAGGAAGCCAGACCTTGTACAACTCATTTATCTGCAAGGAAAACATTGAGCACCTACTGTTTGCTAGGACTACTTAAGGTACTTAAGTTCCAGCAGGGAAAGGAGACAGCAAAATACCTGTTTCCTGGGCTTGTCAGTTGGGGAGTCTAATAATAAACATAAACCCCCAAATGTGAGCAAGTATCCACAGAAACATGAAGCAGACGGAACAAGAGAGGGAGTTTTTCGCTAGGCTGGTCAAGGGAGGAGCCTTTGAGCAGTAGAGGCCTGGTATAGAGGGCTCACACCCTGCAGTGAAGGGAGAAAGCCTTCCAGGCAGAGGAAAAGGACAAAGTCCTAAGGTGAGGCCAGCAGAAGGCAGAGTGTAAGGACATTCGTAAATTCTGTTGACTCTGGATACCCATGGGACACAGCATCCTGATTTAATCCTGGCTGGAGTACAGGGCTAAAAGGTCCCTTTTACTGCTGTTAGTACAGTTAGGCAATTTCTCTACAGGAGATACAAATAAAAAGTGTGTGTGTGTGTGGGGGGAGATACTAGGTTAAACCAATTGATGGGATTCACAGTTTTACTCTGAGGTTTGAGCAGAGGCATGACCTCACTTGCTGCTGTGAGGAATAGACTGAAACAGAGTGGATGTTCCAAAAAGGAATCTACTGGGGTCATCCAGGTATTAATGGTATGGTTAGGGCTTAAGACTAGAGCACTAGAGGCAGAGTGGTGGCTGGATTCTACACAAACTAATTTTCCAATGGTTTACAAGGTATCTGAAAAGTGCAGAGTAGAGAGAGATAGAGAAAAAAGCAACCAGTGGACCATGGTCATGATAAAGACATGGTTCCAGAACCGTGCTCAGCCTCCTGCCAAGTTTCTAGTCCCTCTCCCTCAATATTTCTTGAAGTAACTAATTGGTGTTTCAGTATCTAGGCAGAAATGTCTTAAATCTCCATATGCACACACATAAAGGATGCACAAATCACCACAGATGCGGTTGGTTATCTCTAAGGGGTAAGGAAGTAGCTAAGAAGGCTTTTATATTTTCCTGGTTACTTCCTAAAAGGAACGTACCTAAATACTACTTATTTGAAAATTCAGAATCTGGAGACAGCCTTTGAGCCCTGGTTTCTCCAAATCTAAAGCACGTAGTAATTGTTATTCCTACCCCAACCATTCACATTCACTCAAAGAACCTTCCGGAAGCACTGTTAAACACACAGGCTAGAGGAGGTCAGAAAGAGGCTGGCCCATCGCAGAGGAATGAGATTGGGAAGGTGACCATGCCAACTGTCAAGCTGTGCTCCTTGGGGAAGGGAGAAAACCAACCAGGAGAGATGGGAAAAGGAGAGGTTCAGGCACAACATGGCAGCAGAGTACCACTAAAATATGAGGCCCATGGCAGGAGGTAAAGTCTCACTTGTGTCCTCCTGCAATGTAAACAGGCCATATTTGATTCTACTGCATGTTTCAAAATGTTCCAAGGGAATGTCTTCAGTCAGGATCCAAACTTTGCAGTCCCACAGACCCACTATGTCCTCCCGACCTGCAGCTGTCTGAGGATACCATTCCACAGTGAGATCCCAGGAAACCTTGGTCCAAAGAGGTGATCTCAATACATACATTAGAAGGCCAAATGTGAAGAAAATGAAGCCAGAACCTGAAACTGTTCAGAAGACTGAGGCAATAATCCAGGAGAGAACTGAGTAAAGTTCAAACCCAGAGGTGGGATGGAGTCAGAGGACTGATTAAATAGTTCTTCTTTAGATAGGAGAGGCTCCCTGGAGAGGAGGCGCTCCAGATAACACCTCTTTCGCAGAATGATTTCACAGGTGGACCACAGAAAACTTCCTCAACCCTTAAAGAAAGAATGTAGGGCCAGAGGGGTTGCATAGTGTGCCACGGAAGTGAAATCTTCCTGCCCAACTCTAAACCCACACCCTAAGCCCCAACCCTTTCAAACCAGGCACTTTAATTTACCTTGAGTTTTGAACTGAAGACCTTCACCTACACCCTCACCACTGGGGTCCATGTGATACCGGTTAGCTTTTTCTTGTAACACAGCATCCAACGTCTCCTGTGTGATTCTCCTTGCTGCCATGTTTCTCTGACCTGTAGTGAGAGGAGAAAAAAACACTAATTATGATAACTAAAGAACAGAGAGCCTGCTCTGTTCTAATCTAATCCTTAAAATACCAAGGCAGTAATCCATAATCCAGTGTGGTACTTCTGAACCGGCACTGGATTGTTTTAAAGGGGCAGGGACTCTGCCTTCCAGAAGCACATGAGTGTGTTACACATCTTAACCTCGGTGTATGCCAATTATACTTCATTCAAAAAACCCTCACAGATGTGTGCTGGCTAGGAAGCAGCAAGATGAGCTTAGAGATGCTTTCTGCTTCTCTGAGCACATTCCCTTAGAATCCCTTAAAAACAATTCTACCTCCTGGAGATGCCGGACCAATGCAGGAAGCAACACACGTAACTGAACATGGCAGGGCAGAACCGTCAAAGTGGTGGTTAGGAAAGATACTGTTTCCCATTCTTACACAGACAGGGCCAAAAGGCTCTGAAAACTGACTTTCCCTCTGAGAAGCCCCTCCACGAGTGAAGAAATCCTTCACTGACACAGCTTGCACTGTGGCAGGTTCTGTCGTGGGGAAATACTCCTTCCACCTCCTTTACTCCTGTCTACAACCCAGCAGACCTGGATCTTCTTGCAACATGATACACAATAGGAAATAGACTCACGCTAAGTGACCCACCCAAGGTCAGACATCCCCAAATGCAAACTGGCAAAGCCCTGAAATCTGGGTAGAAAGAGGCTGGGAAGGAGCACTGACAAATACAGAGATGGCTTCCATCACGGTCAAGATACTTCTTGAAACCTCAAACCAGGAGACCCAAGCCTGGTCCTTGACCATCTTTAAACCATCACCCCCTTTCCCGGGGTGTCCCTCTTTCTCAGTGGGCAAAGGGATCAAACTAAGCGACATAACCTTTCTGTGCCTCCTGTTCCCCATCTCTGGAATGGACAGCTCGTGGTGGAGGTGCGGTAGAGACAGCACCAGTTAACAAATATTGGGGCCCCGATAGAGCTTCCCCGAAGTGGGTGGCTCCAGGCTCGCGCGGAATGAATGAACCGAAGCGAGGAGGAACCCCTTGGGGCGCGTCCCGACCCGCCAGACCTGCAAGGACGACGAAAGGGACCTACGTGCCCAAGAGGCCGCGCTTCCATCCCGGGACCCCCATCCCGGCCCCCCTTTCACGGCTGCCCGCAGCCTCCAGGCCTCAGGTCCCGGGTCCCATCAAGCCCGCCCCCCGCCCAGCCCCCCACCACGTTCCTCCGCCCTTGGACCTGAAGATCCAGCCCCCCGCCCAGGGCTCAGAAGCGGCTCGGCCTCACCCCGAGCCCACCGCGCGCGGTGCCGCCCCCGCCGCCGCCTCAGGCTCCTCTGCCGCCGCGCGAGGGCGGGGACATGCAAATGAGCCAACGGTCTCTGCAGCGCCGCGCCGCGCAGGCGTAGGCCGCCGCCGAACCCCGGGGCGCAAGCGTAGGCGCAGGCGGCGGTCGCCCAGCCCTCTTGCGCAGGCGCACTGTTCGCCGCCTTAGGGCGGGCGCTTCTGAAGCGGAAAATTTCCCCGCATGGGACAAAGACTACGGATAGCAGCCACGAAAAGATGGGGAAGACGCCACCATGGCGCACCTGTCGGATTTAACCGCCCTTGCAGTGGCGCCTGGTGACCCGGGGAGTGGTTCTCGCCGCCGCGGGAGGCCGACGTGAGGCGTATCAGCGCGCCTGCGCGCCTACGGCGCCCGGCAGGGCCCATCGCTCGCCTCGGTGACAGCACGAGCCCCACCCTCTCCCCCACGTGGCCGCGACTACCGGGTGAGAGCCTCTGCAGCCATCCCCGAGTGCACGGGGCGGGAAGTGAACGCCGGGGTGGGGTGGGTGAAAGGGCGTGCTGGTGGCCGGGGCGTGGCCCTCGGGACTTGTTTTGGGTATTGAAAAATTCTTGCAGAACCCTCCGAAGGACGAAGTTCACTACCTCTCTGGCCTCCGGGTTCTTTTCATTCATTCCTTCTTGCCTTCACCCTTGTATGCTGAATCCTGCAGCGGGTTCGGGCCTGTCCTCAGCTGACGGGCGAAGTGGTGAACAAAGGCAGAGACCCCAGCTCTCAAACGTGTTACGTTTCATTGGGGCGGAGGCTAGACAGTATAAGCAAATAAACAAGCCTAGTCGATCCAGTCAGCCATAGAATGCAAGCGATAAAAGAGAATGACATGCCAGGAGAGCGCAGCTGCTTTAACTAGAGTGGTTAGGGTGTCCCTTGGATAGCTGGGAAAGATGAGAAAGGTGGGGGGAAGCACATCTAAGAAGGTCTAGATAAATAAGGGGCCTGAGAACGTGTTGGTAAGGAGGTTGAGTTTTGCACTTTGACGGCTGGGAAGCCAGCAGAATCTTCAGCAGGTGAGTGAGGTGCTGTTGTGTTTTCAAATCTTTTAGTTGCTGTTTGCAGAATGGAGGTGCAGGTTGTGGCAGGGAGGTAGCAGGTGGGGCTGGCTAGCCATCCATCCGGGAGAAGAATGGTGCCTGAACTAGGATGGGTGCGGTAGGAGAATGGTGCCTGAAGGATGGGTGCGGGAGGGGGATGGTGCCTGATCTAGGGTGGGTACCGTGTATGAAGGAATAATGCTGGGGGGTGGGGGGAGGAAGAGTGCAGGGAGGTGGGGAGAGCCAGCTGTCAGCTGGGGGCTTTACTATTAATACCTTCCTTCCTGCCATCACACCATGGACCCATCATGGGGGTTGCTAAAGCTGCTTTCCTTCCTTTCCTGGCCTAGAGTATTCACCAGGTCACTCACAAGATGATTCCCCCCAGGCACCAAATCTGTATTTTCATCCCCTCACCCAGCCCTGTGCCAGCTTTAAGGGACTCTAAAGGACTCACCTCCGGTTCAAGAGTCAGATACTGACCTCCCCAACACAAAGAGTTCAAGGCTGGACAGAAGGGAGGTTCATGGGGTGGGGGAGCCAAGACCAGAGAGTATGGCTGTTTCTGGCTAGGGAAGACTCCTAGGAGATGGCCTGGTAGGGTTGGCAGAAAGTCACTAGGACCAAGGTGGAGTGTGAGGCAGGCTTCTGTGGGATAAGAGGCTTCTTTCTGGTAATGCGAACTGTGGCTGGTGTTTTGTTTTTGTCTCTCTGAACTTCAGATTGCTCATCCATAAACAAGCATAACAGCATTTCCTGGAGGCCTGTCTCTGAAACAGTGACTGTTCACTGTTGGCCCCCTCAGTCTAAAACACCAGGTTGTTGGAAGTGAAATCTGGTGACAGAGACTTTCCAGCAACACCAATCCCGGAAACTCCTGCCCTTTAAAGCTGGCTAGGAACCCCACTACCTGGGGTTCTAAATCTAAACAGGTTTCCTTTTCTTCCAGGGAGCTGAGCGGCCTGTTTGCAGGAGATCACAGTGGGGTGTTTGATGCCCTTAACTCCCCTCCCTCAAGTAAACAGACTGAATTACCTCTTAAGCAACAAATTAAAGGAACAAATAGGTACAGTCCTGCTCTGCCAAACTCTTTTCTAGATACTTTGTGGAAATTGTTTAAATTTTCTTTTTTAAGATTTATTTATTTATTTATACAGAACTGCAATTCTGCCAGAGGTGTAGAGATGGTGAGAGGATTCACCAGAGACAGAGTGGGGAGCAGAACAGGCGGACTGACGAAGTACACTGCTGAGGGGAGCAGTGGGCGGGGTCAGGAGAGGTCTGCCGAGCCATGTGGATCACCTCCAGGGCAGGGATCAAACTCATCCCTGCTGAATTGACTTTAGCTTCTTAGTGCTATGCTTTTAACCCACTGCACCACCCAGGAGGGCCCTTTTTTTTTTTTTCTTTAAGGTTTATTTATGTACACAGAACTGGGGTATAGGCCAGAGGTGCAGGGATGGTGAGAGGATTCCCCAGAGAGAGTGGAGAGCAGAACAGGCAGATTGACAAAGTACACTGCTGAGGGGAGCAGCGGGCAGGTCAGGAGAGGTCTGTCATGCCGTGTGGGTCTCCTCCCTAGCCCGGGGTTGAATTTGTGTTGAAGCGGCTTCTGCTAGCTTCATAGTGCTAGCTTTAACCTGTTGTACCACTAGGGAGGGCTCTGACTGTTTAAATTTTCATTGCATGTATATTTATCTCTGTAACATACATGAGGTCATTGGTAAATAGTGAGGGACATTTACAAACAAGTGGAGCACCTGAGATTTGAGTTCCATGGGCTCTCTCCAAGCCCATCTTCACTCTGAAGCTTCTTTAGGGACACAGATGAAATATTTCCTTCCTTGTGCCTCTGCCATCCCAATGCCCAAGGCCTCTCTCTACTAACAGAAAAACTATTTAGAAGATGGCATTAGGACAGTTAAATTTGGTCATGGACGGTGTGTTCGAAAATAGTATCATATGGTTATTGCACACTAGCTGTGCTGCAAATGTGTCAGTATCCTTTTCATGGTAGATTCATGCTGACCTCCATAGGAGGGAAGGAATCCCATACTCTCGAGTGTGTAAGCATTCACACATACACAAACATGGGCACATATACTCAAAGAGATTAATGTGGTGAGTGTGAGGTTAAAAAAGTGTATAGTGTTCCTTGTACCATTCTTTCAGACTTATAGTATCTTTAAAAAGTGAGGTATTTTAAGTGGAGACTGGGTATAACTCCATTAATGAAAGTTTAGTAGTACGGTAATAAACAAGGTATAGTACAACAAATGAAAAAGTTTGTTAGCCTCTATTAGGCTCTGGGACCTGGTTAAAAAGAGGGTGGCAAATATTAGGTGTTAACAAACCACTTGAATTCAGAGACCTTGTTGAATCATCTATCTAACTGCTAGTATTGCCCTCTAGCTGCCAACCTATTCTGGGTTTCTTTTGTTTTTTTCCTTGCCTTTAAAAATTAGTACTTTCAAATTAAGTGGTACTTTATTTTTTTTAGAAGATTTATTTATTTATGCATACAAGAATTGGGGTACAGGCCAGAGGAATGGGGGGGGTGAGAGGATTCACCAAAGACAGAGTGGGGAACAGAACAGACAGATCTACTGAAATATACTGCTGAGGGGAGCAGTGGGTTGGTCAGGAGAGGTCTATGGCACCTTGTGGGTCACCTCCCTGGCTGGGGATCAAACTCGTGCTGCAGTACAGTGGATAGCTTCAATGTGTTGTGCTTTAACCCCTGGCGCCACCAGGGAGGGCCGAAAGTTGTACTTTATTCATTATAATATTCATCCATCTAAAGTGTAGAATTTAGGGCCTCCCTGATGGTGCAAGGATTAAAGTCTCAGCACTATCAGGCTGTCACAAGCCACTGTGGCATTGCAATCCCTGGCATCTCCGGCCTATACTCCAGTTCTTCTTGCATAAATAAATAAAAATAAGTCTTTTAAAATAAAAAAATAAAGTATATAATTCAGTAATTTTAAGTTTATTCATAAAGTTGTGAAGCCATCACCTTTATGTTCTAGAACATTCCATCATCCCAAAAGGAGACCCTGCCCTCATGAACCAGTATTTCCACCCCCTTTCCCCAGACTTTGACAATCACTAATCTTTCTGTGAATTTACCTGATCTGGATATTTGTTGTAAAGGGATCACACACCAGCTTTTCATGTCTGATTTCTCACATCACTGTGGAAGTGCATGTCAGAGCTTCACTCCTTTTCATGGCTGATACTTCACCATGTGGATGGATCATGTTTTTGTCTAATCTGCTTACTGTTGATGGACTCCCCTTTCTCCTTTTGTTCTCATGATTTATTTGTTGAAAATCTTGGTGTCTGTCCTATAGTTGTTCTCCTCTTAAGCAGCGATTTTATAGATCACAGCCCTGTGTAGTTGTTTGGCTTCTCCCTTTGTCCTCTGTTTCCTGCAAATTGGTCACGAGCGTGTATGCTGTCACTGACGTTTAAACACAATTGAAATGTTAGTGACTCACATATGTACAATTAGATTTATGGTTTCATTTTGCTCTTGATTTTTAAGGACTGCCTTTAATTTTATTTTGATTTATTTTGTGCATTATCATAGTCATCTGAAATATTTGCATATTACAAACTCAAATCTGTAAACAAGGTTCATTCAGGGAGAATAATCCATATTCCCAATCTCTATATTAGTTTTTTACTTAGCCTTTAATAATTAATTTATTATCATTAATTTCTGACATTTTTGTTAGCATTAAGAGTATACTTATAGTTATAATTATGTATTTTGTAATTTCAAAATTATACAGTACATAGGAGGATCATGTGTCACTTAACAGGGACATATTTTGAAAAATGTGTCATTAGGTGATTTTGTCATTGTGTGAACTTTACAGTATCATTATACAAACCTAGTTGGTACATGTGGGATCCGTCATACAGCTCCTTGGATGTACACACAAGAATGTGTGTATTGTTATGGATGTGGTTGTCATTGACTAATATGTTGACATGTGATAATGTTATGATAGAATTTTGTAACCTGGTATGGTATACTTTGTAATATATTGTATATAATGATCACTCTATTTATATAACCACAGACATGATTATTTTACTCTTTATTGACATTGTTTCTATAAATACACACATTATACTACAGTTCCCTCTTTCTTAGACAGAATGTAAACTTTCTTCTGAGAAGAGTGCCCCTGAGAAGCTCTGTGGGTGCTGGGTGTTGCTGTTTCCTGTGACCAATTAGAGGGCTTCTCCCTGGGTAGGCTGGGCTTAGCAGCTGCCCAGCGAAGCTGTCCTCTCACCTTTCCTTCTCAGGAGAGTAAGAAGATGGCCTCAAAGCGTGTCACCCAGGAAACCTTCGATGCTGCCGTGCGTGAGAACATCGAGGAGTTTGACATGGGGCCGGAGGAGGCAGTGAAGGAGGCCGTGGAACAGTTTGAGTCGCAAGGTAGGGGTGGAAACTGTCCCATGCTAGTGTTTGCCAAACAGTCACCCTATCCAAGCTCTTACCTGCAACACTGATGCCTTACCATAGGTCCAGCCCCTGACATGGGAGCCCTCTCCTCTCCCAGTGCTCTTCACTGAACTTGCTCATGCTCCCCATCTTCCGTGAGTTTGCCTGGGCTTTCCCCAGATGGATACAGGGCATTTTCAAAAAAATATCACATTAAAAAAGATTTACTTATTTATGCAAACAAGAACTGGGGTACAGGCCAGAGGTGCCGGGGTTGAGAGGACTCACCAGAGACAGAGTGGGGAGCAGAACAGGCAGATCGACTGACATACACTGCTGAGGGGAATGTGGGTGGGTCAGGAGAGGTCTGCTGTGCAGTGTGGGTCACCTCCCTGGCTGCAGTGGCTGCAGATAGCTTCATAGTGCTGTGCTTTAACCCCTTAGCCACCAGGGAGGGCCCTTAATTGTCACTTTCTTTTTTTCTTTTTAAGATTTATTTCTTTATTCATACAGAACAGAGATGGGGTACAGGCCAGAGATGCGGAGGGTGAGAGGATTCACCAGGGACAGAGTGGGGAACAGAACAGGCAGATCGATGAAGTACACTGCTGAGGGGAGCAGCTGGTGGGTCAGGAGAGGTCTGCCACGCCATGTGGTCACCTCCGGGGCAGGTGGGGATCGAACTCATGCGGAAGTGGCTTTAGCTTCTTAGTGCTGTGCTTTAACCTGCTGCGCCACAGGGAGGGCCCAATTGTCACTTTCTTGAAGAGGCATTTTCGGATCACTGACAAACAGAGCCTCCTCCCTTCCTGCCACACCTGTACCCTGACTTGAACTCATAGGGGCATATGTGTCTGTGGAAATAGATGGCATGCTGGAGAGGAGAATGACCCCAAGAGAGCTCTTTGCATTGGTGTGACAGGGCTAGGGATTCCTGCCAACAGGGGCTTCCTTCTCCCCAGGAGAAGCCACTGCAGGGCCACAGGTCACCTGATCACCTGGCAGGCAAGGCAGGCGCTGGGGATGAACATATGTCCTCGCAGCCCGCCCCATCACTTTTAGCTCCCCAATGCCAAGCCCTGTTGGAACACGCTGAGAGAGCCAGGAGTTCAACCTCAAGTCAGAGACCAGCCCCATGAGTAGAGTGGAATGTAGACACTGGAAAGGGCCCTAGGAGTCTCCCCCAGAGCAGGGGCTTCTAGAGGGGTTGGTGAGGGTGGAGATAAAGCCAGGGTGAAGGATGATGGGAGCCCCAAGAGAGGAGGGATCCCTTCCCTCTCATCCTGCCAGAGAGACTGCGCCCCGGCTGCAGCAATAGTGCCTCACCACTACTCTTTGCCAGTGGAGTGGAGGCAGCTGAGGGGCAGGGATCTCCCCACACCATATTCCTGTGTGGTTGTGGCTGCTGGGCCTGGTTTCAAGGGGGAAGGTTACCGGTGGGGAACTGGGCAGACCCCAAAGACCTCCAGATTGGGGTGTTCCACAGAAGGGACATGAAGGGTGACTTGGGCTACCTTGTAGGCATGATGACTGTTGCTTGTTTCCTAACACTGCTCCCTCCACAGGGGTTGACCTGAGCAATATTGTGAAGATGGCACCCAAAGTCTCTGCAGATGGACCCCAGGAGGCCACACATGACATCCTGCAGGTACTAGGCATGGCCACGTGGGCAGGACTGACCTCACATGCATGTCCCACAACACCTTATTACTATCTGACTGGGACACTTTTCCTGGCTGCCAGAAGGCAGGCTCAGGCTTCTAAGGTCACCCAATGGGCACAGACCTGTCTGAGTTAACAGCTGCAACTTTCAGAGTCTACTTCTGAGGGCTTCTCGAGTGTCATGCTGCACCCATCTGCCACATTCCGAGATCATCAGAGCAGTCAGAGGCTTCCTCAGACCCAAGGGTTGGCTGGTGCTCATGGTTGCCTAAGCATAGTGAGCCTTAGGGTAGAGGACACCGTGGAGAGGACCTGCTGGCCTCCCCCACTATCCCAGCAAGTTTGGTCAGAGGGAGTTGGGCTGGAAGCTAGGAAGAGAGGTTGGGGTAAGAGTAAGGTCTGTCATTTGTCAACCTACACATTCAAGAAACAAAGTATTTATTTGGTGTCAGAGAAATGCAATTTGGGGTATACAGACTGAGGTTAAAAAACCTAAACCCTGCCTCAGGGGGAGAGAAAATAGAGATTTTATTTGTGTCATAAAGGGAAAAAAGATAAGTGGTTAGAGAAAAATGTTGATCAGTGTTAACAGGGTTATACTATTCTTGGCTAGACATAATTGGTTACTGAATCTCTAGAAAAAGGAACTGACTGGTTCTGTTGTTCAGTTAAAAGTCGGTAATCTCAAACAATTGTATTTTGAGGGTATCTTAAACATTTGCTTTTGGCCCAGTTTAAATGAGACAGGTAATGAAGTTTCTCTGTGATGGCTTCCTGCCTCCATTTCAAAAATAACTTCACAGATGTCAACTTTTCACAATTACTGAGTACCAGTTGCTTACTGGCTCACTACAGCTAGTCTTTTTAGCATTTAAACTGGCTTATGCAATGGATGGTAAGACCCCTGACTTACTAATGGAGAATTGGAATCCTAGAGCCTGACCTCATTCTCCAGGGACCCACTCAAGGAAATATAAGCTCATAAAAAGTTAAATATTTTCCTCAAGGTCATCTATGAAATAGAGATAAGGTATTGGTTAGACAGCAGAAGGTTCCAGTGTCTATTGAGAACCCGCTATGGACTCAGTTTGTTAGAGATCCTGAAGGGTCTTTGTCTGGCTTTCATCAGTTTATCCCCCACAAATTTTGAGATTTAATATAAGGAAGGTTTATTATGGATCACACAATAGGAGAGGGATGGGGAAATATTCTGAGTCATATGCTCACCTGGGTGGGGGTGTCCTGGTTTTATGAGATTAATTATCAGGGTTGGGTAGCAGGGAATCTTCACCGGGGAATACATTTTAGCAGGCTGAGACCTAGGTAACTTTTATTTTTTTTTTAAAGATTTATTTATTTACGCATACAGAACTGGGGTACAGGCCATAGGTGCAGGGGCAGCGAGAAGATTCACCAGAAACAGAGTGGGGAGCAGAACATGTGTATTTCTATTGAAATACACTGCTAAGAGGAGCAGTGGGCAAGACAGGAGAGGTCCTTTGTGCTTTATGGGTCAGCTCCCTGGCCCCGGGATTGAGCTCATGCTGCAGTGACTGAGGACAGCATCACAGTGCCTTGCTTTAACCTGGTGCACCACAAGGGAGGGCCCTAGGCCACTTTTAGATCAGTCTTCTGCCATCTGAGTCTACCAGCAGGTTTCATCTGGTTCTGGAGCCTTTGGCAAAAAACCAAAGTCTTCTGCAGGGTGGAGGGTCTGTTTCTCATAGGTGATTGGCTGGCCTGGCCTATCATCCTGGCAGCTCACCAACAGGAATGTTAGACAAGGTTTAGGTCCAAGAAGTCCTGTAGCACATTCTGTGCCAGGCACTTTCCTGGCACTAACTCAATTATTCTCTTGAACATGAGCGACATTGGGGTTACACCTTACAGACACGGTAAATTAAGATCCACAGAGAAAGTGAGCTGCCTAGTAGCAAAGGAATGTGAAGGCAAAAGAGGGCATCTGCCTCGGCAAGATGTTATATCCTCCCTGCTCAGAGTTCTCACCATCTCCTGCCTTAGTGAGGTCTGATGAAAATTATCCTGTCATTTCTTTTGAATTTGTAGTAAGATGTTTGTGTTTTAAAATGAGCTTGTCTTCTGGCAGTTTTTCTATTGGATTCTTTATCTTTTTCTTACTGATTTGCAGATGACAAATGAAGGATCTCATTAAAGTAAGTCTCAAGCAGTCTCTGACTATTTGGAGTGCTTTATATTGAGCTAAATTCCTATCTTAATCTGAGGTTAGCCCATATTTATGGCCAGGAATCGAGGGCTTCCCAGAGATACATAATCCGCCAATGAGGTATAGAATTGGGACCCAGACCAGGCCCCTTTCCCAGGGAAGTGAAGATTGGAACAGTTCTACTGTCTTCTATCATCAGTACATTTCTTTTATAGAAAAATAACACAGGACATGTCCTTGGTATAAAAGATTCAAGTAACACTCAAGCACTTACAGTAAAATCTGAAAGTCTCTGCCCAACCCTGTTTTTGCACTTCCCTGAGGTTCACATTAGGGTTCATACTGACCCTTCTCCTCTCACACTGAGCAACCCCTTCTCACAGTGGCATCCACAGCACCCTTGTGCTTATGTGTCTTGACTTTAATGTGTAAAAATGCAAATCTGTAGAGGGAGAAAAATTCAACTTTGTCTTACCTTTTGAAATGAAGAATCATAGCATTTGTTGCAGGCAGTTATAGCAATCAAATGAAAATGAAGTGTTAGTACTAGTAGAAAGTGAACCTGGCTGCTCTCGTGGTGGGAAGTTGCAGAATGACAGCTGTCAGCATAGAGAGTAGATGGGTGGGCCAAGCCCTGTCACCATGCTGAGCTGTCACAGGTTGTTGCAACTGTCATCCCAAAGCCAGAGGGGCTTTGGCTTCATAAGAAGTACCTCACGATTGTGAGGAACCACCTAGCCAGCCTACTCACTCTGGACTTTCTAATGAGCTGCAGGGCAAGTAGAGATTTCTTTTAGACATGGATGCCATATGCACGTATTTGTCATCTGTTTTCCTTTCTTATCTGATTAAATAAGGTAATTGTAACTCTCCTACTATGTGTTCCCAACAACAGGTTTTTCCCATTTCTTGTAGGGTTCCATTGTTTGCTTTGGGTTTTTGTGTATGTATGTGACAAAATAAACATCATAAAAAATTTGTCTTTTATCATTTTTAGGCACATAGTTCTGCGGCATTGAGTACATTTGCACTACTATGCAACCCCTCATCACCATCTGTCTAGAATCTTCTCATCTTTACAAAATGAAAACTCTTCCCATGAAACACTTCCCCCCATTCTGGCTCCCACATCACAGTTTCTGTTTCTGTCTCTGAACCTGACTCTTGTACAGACCTCACATGAATGAGATTGCACAGTGTTTTCCCTTCTGTGTCTGGCCTATTTCCTGAGCATACTGTCCTCGAGGTTCCTTCGTGTCAGTATGCATCAGGATTTCCTCCCTTTCTAAGATCGAACAGTGTTGCAGTGTGGTCCAGGACGGTTTGTATTTGTCCATTTATCTATCAGTGGACACTTGGGTTGCTTCCACCTTTTGGTGATTGTGAAGAATGCTGCCATGATCATGGGAATACAAATTTATCTTTGAAACTCTGCTTTCAGCTCCTTTGGGTATATCCCCAGAAATGGTAATTCTATGTAGGGTAGCTTTTTTTTTTTTTGAGGAACCGCTCTACACTGTTTTCCACTGCAACTATACCATTGTATATCCCCACCTGATGTACACAGGGTTCCAATTTCTCCACAGACTCACCAGCACTTGTATTCTGTTTTGTTTTGTTTTAAAAGATTATTTATTCATACAGAACTGGGGTACAAGCCAGAAATACAGAGGGTGAGAAGAGTCACCAGAGACAGAGTAGGGAGCAGAACAGGCAGATCAAGGAAGTGCACTCCTGAGGGGAGCAGCGGGCGGGTCCGGAGAGGTCTGCCACGCCATGTGGTCATCTACGGGGTAGGCAGGGATTGAACTCAAGCTGAAATGTCTTCAGCTTCTTAGTACTGTGCTTTAACCCGCTGCGCCACCAGGGAGGGCCCTGTATTCTGTTTTTTATTAGGAACCATCATAATGGGTGTGAGGTAGTCTCTCACTGTGGTTTGATTTGCATTTCCCTGATGTCTAGTGATATTGAGCATCTTATATCTAGTCCTTCTTTGGAAAAATGTTCACTTGGGTTATACCCTCTGATTTTAAGTTTTTCCTTAATAGTTTGTTGGATTATAACATATCCTCAGTTAAGTGCACAAGTGTGAGCTCAGAGAGGGATAGACATGGTTACCTTTTGTGGGCCATCAGGTCAGATGTATGCCATTTGTAGACCTATAGACCTGTCCTCACAGGTCTGGTGCAGAATGATTCACAAACTCCTGGGACAGGTTCCTCTTGGGCTCGTGCTGAGGCAGAACCTGACATAACAGATGTGACTTGTCTGCCCTGTTCAGATTATTTTCTCCCTAAAGGCTTCGAGTTAAATTTGGATAAGTCAACTGTTTACGCATTGTGGTTTCCTTTGGCTCAGTAAATATTTGTGGAATGAGCAAGAGAGATAAGCTGGAGATGATCTGCTCTGGGCAGGTCTGGGGAAGATGGTTTTGGCCTGGCATGTGGATTAGCTGTGGCTGTGTAACAGCCAGCCTAAAAGGACAGTCATTGTATTATTTCATGTGATTTTCTGGCTTGACTGGGCTCAGCGCATTGGTTCTGCTTTTCCCACACAGAGCCTATTGCATTAATCACTAGGATGGTGAGATGTGTGCACTCTTGTGTGTGGCTTCTGCCAGGAACACAGAGATGCCTGGACATCTCCTCTACGTGTCCCATGAAGCTCCAGGCTACTAAAAGTAATAGATGTGGAAGCTGCCACAGAGGGAACAGGCCCCACAGAATTTCCACTGCAGGCCCAGATCCCAGGGTAAGAACTCTCCCAGGAGCAGGTCCCTTGTCACCATGGCCCCTTTGGTCTAAACTGAGGTCTCTCCTGTGTCCTCTAGGCCCTAGATGACCTACAGGAGTCTGTGACCCGCTCTCGTCCTGAGGAGGTATCAGCACACCTCACCCGCTTTCTCGAGCAGTGCAAGCAGCACAAAGCCTACCGCTTCCTGGCAGCCCAGAAGGGGGCCTACCCTGTCCTGCTTGCCACCTGGCAGCTGGCCTCAGCAGGTGACCAAGACCTTCTGCTGCAGGCCCTCAACGCCCTTTCAGCTCTGACTGATGGCCAGCCTGACCTGCTGGACACCCAGGGCCTGCAGCTGCTGGTGACCACACTGGCCTGTAACACCAATGCTGCTGAGCTGACCTGCTCCGGGATCCGCTGTGTACGCCATGCCTGCCTGAAGCATGAGCACAATCGACAGAGCCTGGTGAAAGCTGGTGTTCTGCCCCTGCTCACTGGTGCCATTGTCCGGCACAGCTGCTGCGCTGAAGTGGTCAGGGAGGCCTGCTGGGCACTGCGTGTCATGACCTTTGATGATGACATCCGCGTGCCCTTTGGCCACGCCCATGACCATGCTAAGATGATCGTGCAGGAGAATGGAGGCTTGAAAGTGCTCATCCAGGCTGCTAAAGGTAGGATCAGTCGGGCTTTCTTCAACTAGGAAAGCCTAGCAAGGTATAGCAACAGATCAAAGGTGAGAAGAGGATTGCTTCAGTCGTGGGGGGCTCCAGGCACCACTTACCTCTCTGTCTAGTCCCAGTGCACAGCAGCCCTAGTGGGACAGGATCCTTACTCCGGCTCACGCCCAGAGAGTCCCAGGCCAAGACCAGATCCCACACCTACCCTGGAGCTATTTTGGGGAGGGGCCTCAGTTCTCTCCAACCACACAAATGAGAGTGGGGAAGGGAAAATGCCACCAGTTGAAAGTAAGGGGACTGTTTTTACTAGATGGAGATTATTGCTGTCTCTCATCATGACCAGTGTCAAGTGGTTTACATGCTGGGTCATGTTTGGCCATAAGCTCTTGTGCACATGCATGTGCCTAAACTGGGGTGACCATACTGTCTATGGAGGTCACAGCATTGACCTCAAGGGCTCCCTGAACCTAGTAGAAGAAGAGTCTACAGCACAGAGGGAGCTAGAAAGAGTTCCCCTTCCAACCTGTCCCGTGGCTCTGGCTCCATGGCCAGCCAGCCCTGTGTGCCCCACATGACTCCAGCTCTGTCAGCTTCAATCTCCCTTCCATGCCTCCAGAGAGTGTGAACACAGGTCTGATGATCTGCAAAGTCAGGCTGCCCTTCTGAGTAATAGTTTGCATCTTCCTTATTTACAGAAGTGCATATCAGTCAGCGTAATACCAGAGACAGACCCAGTAGGATGTGTGTAGAGAGACACTATCATAAGGAATTGCCTTGTGTGGTTGTGGGCTAATAAGTTTGAAATCTGCAGGACTGGCCAGACTGGACACTGAATTCTGCAGGCAAGCTTCTTCCTCACCAGAGAGGCTTTGGTTTCCCTCTTTTCTTTTAGCTGAAGTAACTTTGGCTTATAACATGTACATTTTGGGTGTAAAATCTTTTTTTTTTTTTTTTAAGATTTTTTACTTATGTGTGTAAGAACTGGGATACAGGTGCAGAGGTGCAGGGGTGAGAGGATTCATCAGAGACAGAGTGGGGAGCAGAACAGGCTGATCTACTGAAATATACTGCTGAGGGGAGCAGCGGGCAGGTCAGGAGGTCTGCTGCACCATGTGGGTCACCCCTCTGGCCAGGGATCAGACTCATCTGCGGATAGCTTCATAGTGCTGTGCTTTAACCCCTTGCATCACCAGAGTGGGTCTTGGGTATAAAATCTTCTATATCAACACCTATATAATGTTTGCCTCCAAAAGTCTAGTTTCCATTCAGTGCCCCTGTTACCTGGCTAACCTCTCTCTGCTCCCTTCCCCCTTCCCTTTTGGCAACCACTATTCTGGTTTCACATTGTAAAAGGTCTTTTTTTCCTTGTTTGTTTTATTTAGTTCATCTATTTACATTATTTCTTTACATTCCACATGAGTGAAATTGTAACTTGTTTGAATGCTTACTTCACTTAGCATAATCCCCTCTAGGTCCACTCACATTGCAAATGGCAGGATTTCACCTTTTTTATAGCCGAGTAGAATGTCACTATGTAGATATACCACATCTTCTTTATCCACTAATTCATACATGGACATGTAGGCTGTTTTCTGTTCTTGGCTATTATGAATAATGTATAGTGACCATGAGGATGCATTTCTCTCTCTTTTTGTTAGATTTATTTATACATCTAAGAACTGGGGTGTAGGCGAGAGGTGCTGGGAGCACAGTGTCAAGAGGATTCACCAGAGACAGAACGGGGAGCAGAGCAGGCATATGTACTGAAATTCACTGCTGAGGGGAGGAGAGGTCTGCTGTGCTGTGTGGGTCAGCTCCCTGGCTGGGGTTGAACTCATGCCACAGTGGCTGGTGATAGCTTGGTAGCACTGAGACTTTATTCCCTGTGCCACCAGAGATGCCCTCCCTTTTATTGATTTATTTAAGATTTATTTTATTTATTTATGCATATAAGAGCTGGGGTATAGGCCAGTGTTGTGAGTGGTGGGGAGGGGGAGGATGAGTGGCTTCACCAGAGACTGAGTGGGGAGCAGAGCAGGTAGCCTACTGAACCACACTCCTGAGGGGAGCAGCAGGTAAGACAGGAGAGGTCTGCTGTGCCGTGTGGGTCAGCTCTCTGGCCGGGAATTGAACTCTTGCTGCAGTGGCTGCCAATAGCTTCATAGCGTTGAGACTTAACCCCTTGTGCCAACAAGACGGCCCAGGCCCTCTCTTTTAAGGCTTCAGCTGATTGGCTGAGACCTACCCAGCCCATCAAAGGTCATCTCTGTAAAGTTAGCTGGTTGTGAATAACTCACTGCACTTGAAAACACCTCCATGGCACCCTCAGATTACTGCTCATGGTATTTCAGGGGTCTGTGGCCTGACCAGGGAAAATGAACTGACCATTACAGAGCTTTATATAGAATATGCTGTCCACTCCTGATGTTGGCTTCAGCACCAGCCTCTCCTCCAGGTGCCTCTCTGTCTTGTCTTTGATGACTATGCCCTGATCAGCTCTATCCTATGTCCCTTTATAGTTTCTGGATTTCCATTCTCACTTAGGAAGTTCATTCCCACCACAAGATCATAAAAATAGTATTGGATGTTTTATTATAGCACTATTATGGATTTCTTTTTTTTTTTTTTTTGGTGAGATCATCAGTTGGTCTGGAATTTATCTGGGGCATGGGGAGGGCAGCACCACCCCAGGTCTTCCTCAGACACCAGCAGGGGGAGCTGCAGGCCCAGGAAGCCTGAGGGAGGCCCTGGTATTCACTGGGGTCCAGCTGGTACTGGAAGCACCTCTGGGAGGGTCCTGCTGGTACTGGAGGGCTTCCCTGTAGAAGAAGAATTGGCTCCAGGACCCCTGGCTCAGTTCCCTTCCCCTGTGGTTGCTCTCCTCCCTCTCCACAGCTTTCCCTGACAACCCCAGCGTCCTGAGCGAGCTCTGCAGCACCCTGTCCCGACTGGCAGTCCGCAATGAGTTCTGCCAGGAGGTGGTGGACCTCGGGGGCCTCAGCGTCCTGGTGGCCCTGTTGGCCAACTGCAGCGACCACCAGGTGGGCATCCAGAGTGCAAAAGCCCCAGCACTGTTTTTCTGTCTGTCCTTTCTTTGGACTCCCAGGAGGGCCCTGACCTCTTAGTGAACTCTGCCCATTTAGGCCTTGGGCAGCCAGGCAGCTTGAGTCAATACGAGGCCCTGCCTGCTGACCTGGAACCAAAGGTGGCTTGGAATTAAAATTTAGAAGGAAAAATAGATCCAGCCACCTTCTCTTACTGTACTTTAGCACCTTTGTATTCCTTCCCACTGGGAGTCGCGGTGGGAGTGGATGTCTGTGGGACTGGTGCAGACCCTAGCTCAGGTGTGTGAAGCTTGAATGAGGCTAGGCTCCTCTGTTTGTGAAATGGACGGAGACCCTTGCCCATCACGCCTTCATTTAGCAGCCACTTACCACCCTCTGTGTGCCCTGCTGCAGGCAGAGGTGTCTGGCCCATGGCAGCAATGACCCTGTGCTCCCCAACCCTGGATGATGGGGTCAGCCAGGCCCCTTCTATGCAGAAACCTAATTTGCTTATATTGCTGGATAGTCAGGGGCAGGGGCTTGGTGTCCCTTCCTGAGCTCTGACCTTGCTGGGTGGTGATCAGTCTCATCAGGAACTGGGCTGACCAGGGGACCCAGGCTGTGACTGCTGGCTCAAGCCACTGCCTCCTTTGTGTATGTGGGTGTTCACTTTGCCCCAAATCCTGGCCTGTATGCAAATGGGTAGCCTCAAGCACCTCATGAGCCTCCGCACCTTGTCTGTATAGCTGGTTGGTGGTAACCCTGGTTGGGTTTTTTTTTTTAAGATTTATTTATTTATGCATACAGAACTGGGGTACAGGCCAGAGGCTCAGGGGCAGTGAGAGGATTCACCAGACACATTGCAGGGAGCAGAACAGGCTGACGAAGTACACTAACCGGTGAGGGGAGCAGCAGGCGGGTCAGGAGAGGTCTGCCACAAGCCTTGTGGATTGCCTCCGGGGCAGGCGGGGATCAAACTCATGCGGAAGTGGCTTCAGCTTCTCCGTGCTGTGCTTTAACCCCCTGCGCCACCGGGAAGGGCCTGGTGACCCAGGTTTTAGTGCTGTACACGCCTAGGATGGCCACAGCTGTCAGAGCATCCCCGATGCACCCCTAGGCCCCTCTCCTTTAGCAATGAGCAGGTAGCTGGTGCCCATGGGAGAGGGGACGACCAGTGACACCACACCCTCACCCTCTGCCCTCCACCCAGGATCTGGTGAAGCAGGTGCTAAGCGCATTGCGAGCCATTGCAGGCAACGATGATGTGAAGGATGCCATCGTGCGTGCTGGCGGGACGGAACCCATCGTGGCGGCCATGACCCGGCACCTGACCAGCCCACAGGTACCCCCAGGAACACATGGTTTCTGTCTGGGCAGTGCTCTCTCTGGCTTCTTCCATGGGTTCTGACTTGGGCTGGACGAGGTAACTCTGGGCACCACCCCTGGAGGCTCTAGGTGGACTTTGGACAAGGCAAGATGGGCTAGGCAGGGCTGAGAGAGCACTGGTGCTGGGAGCTATGTGGGGGGAAGGTCTGGGAGCTGGATTTCGGGGCTGGCTGACTAGCTGGAGGATGGAGGGGGGGGGTTGAGGGAATTGGAGGTGAGCAAGGGACCAGGCCTAAGCTGACCTCTGTAAGGGCTTGATCTGTGGTTTTCCTTCCCGATGTTACCAGCACACCGTCTGGTCCAGGTGAGGTCTGCTAGGATGGTAGGCTGTCGCCCACTTCAGCCCTCTCCTTGACCTCTCTCAGGTGTGTGAGCAGAGCTGTGCAGCCCTCTGTGTGCTGGCCCTGCGCAAGCCGGAGAACAGCCGGGTCATTGTGGAATGCGGTGGGGCGCTGGCTGCGCTGCAGGCCATGAAGGCACACCCCCAGGAGGCTGGCGTGCAGGTGGGCAGTGGGGACAGCAGGGGCAGAAGGCTGGTGTGCGGGTGCGGGAGGGCAGGCACAGGTCTTCCCAGCCCCTGAGTTCTGCATCTACTGACCATGTTCCAACACATCCTACCAGCAACTGTCTCATTTCCTGCCCTTTACTCTTCCTAAGTTTGGGCTTTTTCTCTCTCAATCCCTTTTCTTTTCAACATTTTTTTGTTTACATCATTCTTAATTTTGTGCATTTTTTCCTCTCAGTTGTATTCCCCAGGGGCTTCCCATCTATCCCCTTTCAAGGGGTCTGGAGGAACAGCTGGTGGGGATCAGCTAGTGTGGGAAAGTTCCTTAGCCCACCTGATCTGCTCCTTGGCATAGTGGGGAGGGTGGGCCTGCTGTCTTGGCCTTGGGGTGCTGACAGAGCTGGAGCTGAACCATAAATGGATCACGTGCACCTGGACTTAAACCCCCCTGCTCCCTCTGCCTCCCCTGCTCCCCTTCCCTCCCTCCTAGCACAGGGCCTCCTAGTGGTCCTTAGACACACCGCTCTGGGAGGGGCTAGGAGGGTGTCTTTGCTCTAGCTGTTCCCGCCCTCAGCACATGGTGGTCTTGACTCATCTCTACATCTGATCACCCTGGCTAGATGCTTTTCACACCTTACCTGCTTCTCATCTGGTCTCCACTAGTATTGAATACCATCCTGCAATGCTTTGAGTCCCTACACAAAGCAGATTATGTAGGACATATCTGGACCCATGACTGGATGAGTAATGTATTGATATACTCGGCAAATAGACCTGTATACCCTGGACTCTAGCGAGGCTCCTGCCAGTTTCAGAGGACCTCTGAGACTGAGCTGTGATCAGAACTTTCCTTCCTAACAGACTGGTCCAGGTGAGGTCTGTGGGGATGCTGGGGTGTTGCCCACTTTAGCCATGCCCTTGGCCCCTCAGCTGTGTGAGCAGAGCTGTCAGCTTCTATGCACCTGAGCTTCAGTTGCCTCACTTAGGAGGTGGGGGACTGGACCTGGCTTCCTGAGACAGGTGAAGTGGGAGAGGAGTGCAGTCTCGTGACTACACTGGTGCCCACTGAATATGGGCCGTGGCCTTTATTGCCCCATTGTCACGGGCGGTTTCTTAAGTTAGAGTGGGCCCCACCCCACTGCCTCACCCACACTAGCTCATAACTGCTCACCTGTCCCTTCCAGAAACAGGCCTGCATGCTGATCCGCAACCTGGTGGCCCGCAGCCAGGCCTTCTCACAGCCCATCCTTGACCTGGGGGCTGAGGCACTCATCTCTCAGGCCCGTGCCACCCACCGAGACTGTGAGGATGTGGCCAAGGCTGCCCTGCGGGACCTGGGCTGCCATGTCGAACTACGAGAGCTATGGACTGGCCAGAAGGGTAACCTGGCACAGTGACCTCAGGCTTGGCCTGGGTGTGATCTGGCTGAGTTGTATGACTCAGGAACAGGGCAGAGGGAAGTCTGTATCTTGCTGAGCTGCCCCCAGACCTGGCCCCTCAGCGCTAGGTATAGGCTGGGGGTGGGAGGGAGCATCGATGGGATATCAGCACTGCAGAAATCAGCCCCTGGGTCCCAGCCTCTCCTCTCCATCCAAAGACATTGGCATCATCCATCCTATATCCCTTTGTCCCCATGCTCTTTCCAACTAGAAGTATTTGTTCAGCAGTCTGGTATTGGGGCCCCAAAGGTAGTCTGAGATTCACAGTCACACTAGCCAACCTCAGAGAAGGCCAGGGAGCTGTTCCTGCTTGTTTTCCTCTCTGTAAATGGGTCCCAGATATCTTGGTCTGCTGGCCAAAGGGTAAAGACAGAGGCTCATGCACCTCAGGGACCGAGGCCAGCCGCTGGTACTGGTAATAAAGGACATTGGATGAACACTGGAGTGGTCTCATCTCTTTTGTGGTGTAGTGCAGTGTAGGAACTGCAGCCTGTAGACTCCACAGGGAGGGCAGACTTTGGAGAGGCTGAGGGAGTTGCTAAGGAGAGTGGGGGCCTTTTGAGCACAGCCTAAGACTGGTGACCCGCTGTTGTCCTCTGATGGGCAGGTGGCTTTCACAGCCATGGCAGCCACAGTCTGCTTTCAGAGCATGTGTCCCTTTGGGGGACGGAAAGCTCAGGGCCCAGCCCCCACCCAGCTCTTTGGCCCTGAACAACTAACATCACCTCCCTAAGCCTCAGTTTGATCCTCCGTTTGATCCTCCGTAAAACTGCAGTTGGGGGGAATAGGTGGGCACATAATAGGCAGTGGTGTCTCAGTTTTACCACCTCAGTCAGCCCAGGGAGACCATCCTGTACCCCAACTTGGCCCTACTGTGGTCCTTGCTTGCTTGTGGCTTGGACTACCTGTCTCCCCTCTCAGCTTTGCTTTCCCAACTGTAGATAGGTATCAGTCACCATTACTGACTCAGTCCCCACCCCCCCCTCCCAGGGTTGTGGGGTTCCAGGTGGCTGTGCAAGGGCAGACCCCACATCTCTGCAGTCACACTAGGAGGTCACATGGCCACCTGATAGCTTGTGTCTGTAGTGTGGCCCATGGTAGGGTCAGGGCAACCTCATGACTTCTGGGCTCTAGCACCAGGTCCCTCTCTGGGAGTTCCAGTCTCCTGCTGTCCCTCCTCCCCCTAGGCCTGAACTCAGTCCATGAGGTCAGCTCCTGCTCTTCCCAGAAGGTCTCTGGTTTCTTTGGAAACTGGCTGATGCAAATAGTTATGGGGGCCTCACCCTTGTCCTACCTCCCTGTGGTGTCCAAATCTCCTCAGTTTCCAACAGGGAGGGCCCTGTCCTGAACCTCTGACCTGGTTACCCAGCCCTGATTCTTCACCAGGGTACAGAGGGACCCTGTACCTCCCCAAGGCTGTCCTGGTTTGACTTCTGGGTCAGCTTTGTATGTGACCTTGCGCTGCTGTGATCGGGGAGTCCCCAAACCCCTTGAGTCTTGTCACCCAGAAATGGACGTGCACTTCTGTGGAAGCTCTAGTGTTGCCCTATTATTTCTGCTGTGCTCTATTCTTCTTTCAATCTGCCTGTGGCTCCCCCACTGCCCTCCCCATAAAACCTCTCACCTCCATCAGCCCTTCTCTCTCCCTTATTCAGTTACAGCCACACTAACCTCCCCACCTCAGAGCCTTTCTTTGTACACATGCATTGCTGCCTGGCACAGCCTCCTCACTACCCTCCCCACTTTGGCCCCTCTTGAGCTGGTGCCTTTCTGGAAACAGGTTTCAGTTCACACTGTCACCTCTTTAGGAAGACCATCCCACACCCCATCCCATCATCCGTGTGCTGTGTCTCTGCTGCACCCTTGAAGTTTGCTTTATTTGTGTGTGACCCTGTTTGTCTGTCTCTCATCATCCCTGAGCCTCCCTGCTCTGCTTCAGCTTCCCCTAAATGTTTTTGAATGTGCACCTGAATAAATTAAGCAGCACACTAAGTGGTTGGTTGGCGGGAAGGCCAGTTCCCCCAAGCCCAATGGCCTCTCCTGGGCCCCCAGCCAACCTTCCTACAGCTGCAGGCTGGGGAAGAGAGGGAGAAAGGCTGGCTTGGGCTTATCTATCCCTCCCACCTTAGCCTGAGGAAGTTTGCCTGTGCAGTGGGTGGGGCTCCCACCCAAATTGGGTGGGTGGGTGGAGGAGTACAGCTGAAGACCCTCCCCCCACTTTCCAGTGGCTGCACTGCGTGGGTTTCTGTTCCTGTTCTGCCACTACAGGTGAGCCTGAGTGTCCTCACCTGAACTGAGCTAACTAAATTGCTCAGCTTAGGGATGTCTAGTGCATAGTGACCTACTAATCACTTGTTGGTGACCTGGGAATGTGGAAGGTACCTCTGATGCTGAGTGCTCTGGAACTGTGTTCTGACCTCTCTGCGGCTTTTGGAGGCCGAGTGAGCTCGCCTTAAGACTGCAGTTGGCTGTCATCACTGAGTGCTCAGAATGTGTCCTCCTGCCAGGGAAGGGCCCAGAGTTACAGGCTGCAAACATCACTGAGTGGTAAGTCCTGTAAGTGCCACTTCAGATGAGATGGACTCAACTGATATTTGAGGAGTCAGAGTAGAACAGAAACCCAACTCAGCCTGCCTTAACCTCTTCATCTACTGCCACCATGCTAACCTGACCCTGGTTTTGTCTCAGTTGCTTGAGCCTGTCACTGGGCCTGGGCCTGGCTCATAGCCACCCTGTCAGATGATTCCTGGAATCCCCGATGGGTCGAGGAAACCAGAGCAATGAGGACAATGTCTTGCCCAGGACCAGCCAGGAAAAGCTGGGATCCCAGGCACCTTAGCCAATTGCACCCAAGTTCCTGTGGTGGGGTGTCAATGGCTAATGCCAAGGGGCACTGCCTACCATTGTTGGAAGGCTGTAGGGAGGTCTGCTGGCGCCAGCCTGCTGCGAGGCAAATAGAAATCAGAGCCTAGCCAGTATCTGGCACCATCCAGATTGCTGGGCTGCTGCCTGACCCTTGCCTCAGTTGGCAGTGCCCTGCGGGAACCGTGGGACCTCTCAGAATCATGCAGTCTCCTCCCAGGGCCTGGCAGGTGGGTGCTTGGGGGTGGAGACTCCTCCAACATAAATATCTCCCTCTTGGTTAGCAAGCCACACCCACAGTTGGTCTATGTCCACATTCCATGAAGTGCAGTTTACAGAGAGGGAAACAGGTCTCCATCACCGCACAGCCAGCGCTCACTGTGGACCAACGTAGTTGTGAGTGTTTTACTTCCATTTATTTTGTCTATGCTCCCAGTAGCCCCGGGCGGTAGTCGGAGAAACAAGGCAAAGGCAGGACTGAAAATCCTGTATCTGGCAAGTAAAAATGAACGGGGATGGAATCTAGCCTTGGGTCCTTCCAGCAAGGAATACTTGTCCCTGAGGCTTGGCTTTCTCAGCTGTAAGGCAGTGCTGTCATCCCCATCTGGATGAGATGGTGTTTCAGAGGCTCCTGGCCCTGCGAGGACCGTCTGACACCCGTGGGTGTCAGCTTCTTCTTCTTCTCCAAATCGTGGAGACCCAGGCCTAAGAGTTGCAGGGATACGAACTGCAGCTGGGAGGTTTGGGCCCAGGCAGGAACATCGCGGAAATATCAGAGAATGTCCTCGGCTAGTGACTTCCAGAGTGTGTGCTTCATTTCCTCTGTACAGAGGCCCTCTGTGGATTAAGCATGGAGGCTGGGGTCAGGGTGGCACAGCCCTGAAATGTGAACCCTTGTTAAGACAGAGCTCAGCTTTGCTCCCTGCAGGAATCGCCTAGTTCTGAACTTGACTCAACCAACCCCACCTGCACAGAGGAAATGAGAGCCAGTCACTGGGAACATTTGTAACCCCTTCTACCCCAGAGTGCAGTTGGTGAGTCAGAATGGGTTGGCCAAGTACAGACTGCAGGTGTCCTCCCCAACTGTCTACAGAGTCCCAGAACCACACCTCATAAACAGATTTGCAGGCAAAAGGTGACAGCAGAGGGACAAATGCTTTCTTAAGAAAGTCAAAACAGGTATATAAATTCAGGAGATCCTGAGGAAAAACCAAGTTGTAGGAACCTTTGTCCCAGGAGAAACAGGCCAAGGATATGGGCAGGCCAATGCCAGAAAGACATCTATCCCAGGCTTCTTGAGTCCCCACAGCTGTTCTCTGACACTGACTTACTCCCCTTCCGGAGAGTAGGCCGCCTAAATTCACACCCACTTTGGCCGCTTAAGTGCTGTGTGACTTTGGGAGTTTGACCTCTGTGGGTTACGGTGTTTGTAAAACGGGGCCAGGGTCTCGTTTACCGGAGGTTGTGATTAATTTAAAAGACTTAGCCGGAAGGAGGCCCGACAGGGACGTCACTGGGTCCAGCATCGGGGCGCGTCTGCACTGGGTCTGCGCTCAGAGCGGTCAAACTGGCTCAGAACGAGCAGGGTCCACCTACTTCCAGGCCTTCACACCGCCAAGCCGCGCTGGGCCGGTCGTGCCCTCCAGCGAGCCTCTGGCTCTCCGCGTCACCTGTCCGGAAACAGTGGGAGTGAGGGAATGGCGTGGCTCCGAGCTGGGAGGCCGGAGCGCCGGACTCTTGGCCACAGCCTCAGAAGACCCCGCGCGGGGCATCCGAGGCCATTTCGGCCCCCGCGCTCCGGCCCAAACTCTGCACCTTGCACGCCCCGCTCGAGCCGCCCGTGGGGCCTGCGATTGGCCTTTGCACCTGCCTATCTTTAGCATCAAGCCATTCTCCGACGTCCTCCGGGCTACGCCCTCCGTTCCCGCAGCGCCAGTCGCGCCAACCTCGTCGGTGCCCCGCCCTTGCTCCCTTGAGATTGATAGTCAGGGCTGCCCGTCTTTCCCCAGGGCTCCAATCTTCACGCGCCGCAGGCTCTCGCCTCTCAGCGCCTCTCCCCCCACCCCCGAGCTCCTGCAGCCCGCCTCTGACCCTCAGCGATTGGCTTTAGAGCTGCCTGTCCGCTCACAGTCGGCGAATCCTTCCAGACCCCCACGATGATTGGCCACTGCAGAGCGAATCGGAGCTCGTCTTGGCCCCGCCCTCGGCGCGCGCTGGGAGGGGGGCAATGCTCGAGGCGGGGCCTGGCGGCGGCGGCGGCGGCGGCGGCGGCGGCGGCGGCAGCGGCAGCAGCAGCACGTCCCGGCCGGTGAGGGGCGCGAGGGTCTAGGGGCCGTGAGTCACTGGGCGCCAAGGGCGCTGACCTGTCGGGGGACACGAGGGCGGGCGGGGCCGGGAGTGACAGCGGTGTCGCGAGGTCCGGGAGAGGTTGAAATCCCCCGACCCCTACCGCACGCGTCGGATCCGAAACCCTCACTGATCAACCCTTACACCTGAGCCTGTCCACCTCGCTGACAGTCCCCACATGCCCGGGCTGCGTTCCCCGGTGCCCCGCACGATTGGTGCTACACCCCTACGGGCACCTGAACCTGCGTCCCCACTGATGCGTCCCCCCACACAGCTGACACCTCATCGCCCACTCATGGGCTCCCATATCACTTGAGACCCTGCCTCTGGATCACACCCCAGGGGTGCACACCCTCCCCCTCAAAAGCACCTAAGCCTGTGATCTCATGGCCAGGACTTACACCTGGTCCTGTTACTACCCCCTCACGGATTTGCTCACTTCCAGGACTGCCCCTCCCACCACCCCTTCACTTCTGCAACCTGGATGGTACGATGGTACCCCCCAACTTCCCACATCCCTGCCCTGTGTCCCAGCAAACCCCTTTCACATACCTCTGGGTGTGTGACCCACCCTTACCCTTTTACACGTGTGCCTTAAGTCCCTCTCTGTAATCCTCCCTACCTAAATCTTGGCATCACAGAATGACTGGACCTCCTCCAAAGAAAAGCCCACCCAGAAGTTATCTTTTCATTTATAAAGGCAAAGTGATTTCCTGGATTAGAATAAACCCATGCCATAAAAATTAGAATGATCTCCATCTTACCAGCTATAGACCTCAAGTGATTTGCTTTGGGAAGGCACAGGACCCCCTCCCTCCCCCCCCCCCCCCCCACTTTCCCTCAGCATTGCAAACCCTTGACTGACTTACCCCATTTTGCCTATCTGTTGTGTTTCTCTTGGAAGGATTGGCAAAGAAGGGCCCCCAGCCCTCCTGCAGCTGTTCTCAGGAGTCACGACTTTGGGTCTGGAAAGGTTGGGTTGAAAGGGGTGACCCAAGGCTGGGGAGCTGGTGCCTGGCCCCCAGGGGATGGGGGGGTGGGGTCAGGATTACTGCAGGGGCAGGACTTGGGCTTCAACACTTAGAGTTCCCAGCCTCAGGGTCACCTGGCCAGACTTGCTGGACTCTCACCCCAGCTCTTACAAATGGAGGCCCCTCACTGACAGGAGATAGCTCCTCCAGCACCTGAAGCCACTGAACAGGAAGAGTAAGGAAACACTCTGATGTGAGGGAGCTAATGTTTCAGCTTCTTAAAGCTAAACATTCTGCCAAGGCTTCTGCCAAAGCTAGAGCCTGTGTGGGACTAGGAAGCATGTTTTTTTATTTGTTTGTTTGTTTTTCTGGAACTTTTCAAGTTCCCTGGCGTATACAGCATAGAGGTTTTGGTTGTTAAGCAAGTAACTTTACGCCTTTTCCTGTAAGGCTTGCACAGTTCCTCTTACCCTCCTCCTGTCTCCCTGCAAAGATGGTATCAGAATGTTCTAGAGGGGCATGTCACCTTGAGCTTCTCTTCTGGAAACTGAACCCAATGGCACTTTCTGTCCAAATTCAAAAAGTCATTTGAAATATGTGTGTATGTATATGTAGATAGATATGTGTTGTACATGTATCACATATTTGTATACATTTTAATGTATGTATTAATCTTTTATATGTAAGTATATAAATACATTTCGACAAGGTAATGTAGATGGTTTAAAAAAAAAGATCAAAGAGTATAGGTAGGCATGCAGTGAAAACTGGGCAGCCCCCTTCATTTTTAGCTTCTGTGTGTCCTTCCAGAGATTGTCTGTGGCATAATGGAGGGGTGTGTATCCCCATATACACCTTAAATCATTAGTAAATTTACATTAGATTTTATCAGATGGTATGCCTATTTTGTAATCAGTCTATTGCTGATGTTTTTTTTTTTTTTTGAGTTGTCACCCATATTCTGCTTTTACAAACCAAGCTGTTATGAATAGATGGAGTCACGAATCAGCAAATATGCCTTGAAAGTGGAGCTCCAGCATTACACAGGCACCTCAGACCTCCCGTCTTTATGGGCGGAACCTTCTGTGGAGCAGCAGGGTCAAAGTGCTTGTCCACCTAATTGGTTAATGTCTCTACAGAGGCTGTGCTATTGTCAGTCTGTCAGCTTGGAGGTGGAATACCTGCTTTCTCCCCTGTGGTCTGGATTATCAAGTATTTGTTCTCTCCAATTTGATGAGTGAGAAAAAAGCCTGAGAGATCCTTTTGAACATCACTTCCTGCTTCCTACCCAACTCTGAGGTGTTCTGGCCTCAAGGTGGTGATGGTGACTAAATCTTAGCCTTCATTTCTCCACAGTCTGACTAAAGTACAATCCAGAAAATATTTGAGTCCTTCCTCTGTAAGGCTCTGAGAGAAACTTTGCTGGTGGGGATGGAGGTGGGGGTTCCTTGCAAGAAAAAGGGAGGCAGGCATGGCCTGGAGTCTCAGGAGGAGATCCTGAGACCTTGACATAAGGAAGACAGTGCCTAGAAGAACTGTTTAACTCTTGCTTGTTTTGTTTTGTTTTTTCACTTGGATTGTGCCAAGAAGATGAGATGGAGACAAGTCAAATGTTAAAGCTTTTGGGAAAGAGTCTAAGAGTCTTTTGGTTTTTTGTGGTGCTGTAGGTGAATGTGTCATCTAGTAGGGTGAGGCTGCTGCCCACATCAACTATGTTCTTTCTTAGATTTTGGCAAGTATTTGGAGGAATACTAAGGTGATTGGACCTATTAGCTTGTTTGGGTTTCACAAACCAGCTTTTTAAAAATGCATTGGGAGCCTAGCTGGGTACAGAAAGGTATTAAAATTTTTAAGGGTGAAGTGCTTCATGATAAAAAGCATATAATATGACATATGAATAGAAAGAAGGTATAAAAAATAGTAAAGAAGAACAACCAGGTCTAGAAGCAGAACCTTCCCCCAACCCCCACCCCCCAGGCCCATCCCTGGTCACTGTGTGTGTTCTATTTTTAAAAGGTGCTTGTCAACATTTTCTTTACTCAGTACCTTTGCTGCCTCATTTTTTGAACCCAAGAACCCAGAGCTGGATTCTGCCCGCAGGGTAGCCTGTGAGGTCTAGAGGAAAGAGTGACCACAGAGTGTGGGGAGGTCACTATGAAGGGATGGGCCAGTGCTGGGGGCTTGGTTTCACATTCTTGCTGAATTCTTTTCCTGGGACTACTGCAAATCACCACACACCGGGTGCCAAAATTCTTGCACTTAAACCTAATTCCCAGCATGAGATATATGGAGTTTGGGCCTTTAGGAGGTGATTAGGTAATGAGATTGGGACTCCCTATAAATGAATGGGATTTGTGCCCTTATAAAAGACCCCAAAAAAGCTCCCTCACCCATTTCACCATGTAAGGATGTAATAAGGTGATCATTTGTGAACTAGGAAAAGGGCTCTCACCAGACACAAAATCTTCTGGGGCCTTGATCTTGGACAGCCTCTAGAACTATGGGAAGTACATTTTTGTTGTTTAGAAGCACCCCACCCCACTAGGTGGTATTTTGTTATAGTGGCCCCATACAGAAGGTTTGGTTCCTAACTGGGACCCTATTGAAGAATCTGATCCCGTTTCCTCTCTGGCTGCTGTCAGTCCTTGGGGTTCCTTAGCTTGTTACCCTATCAATCTCCCTCCATCTACAAATGGCCCTCTCCCCTGTGAGTCTTTGCTTCTCATAAGGACATCTTGCATTGGATTTAGGGACTCCAAATAAGATAAACTGAGATTTAAGGGAGATGGGTTGACCCTGCTGGCTTCCAGCTTCATAACGACACACAACCCATTGGTGGTCAGGCCTCAACATGGTGGCTGGTGGCTGTTAAGCTGGCAAGGGGGTGCAGGAACATACTGGCCAGAGACAAATGGTGGCGGACCCTGAATGTCAGATGGGTGATGGGATGGGTGATGGTGATGGCCTAGGAGAGTACTTGCTGAGAGTACTTCCTAAGCCGTCAGCTGCAAGGCAGTGCCACTCAAGCTTTGTTCAGTACTCTGGGGAGATGAACTAGAGGAAGCCTGGCTGACAGGTTAATACAGAGCCCTCTTGGTGTGGGGTTGTGGGCTGAATGTCAAGAGTTAGGAATCAGGTATCTGCTCTGCAGGGCAAGGTGGTGGGGACCGACATTTAATCCATGCTGCTGGGCAGTGTCCACTGAGCTCCATCCTAGCCCTCCTTGGTGAGCACCAGGGAGAAGTGTACTTACCCATGACCCTGAAGCAGCACCAAACCTGAGGAGATAGTGATGCGTGAAGAAACTGAGGCCCTGGAAGATTTAGTGGCACATCCCAGGTCATATACTAGACCTTGTCTTTCCACATCGCTGGGAGTCTGTGCCTGCTCTCCCTTGGGCTATGTGTGACAATAATTGTTGCTGCTTCCTGTGAAGGATGCTTCTTGTGTGTATGTGTCGCTTCTCCTCGGATGATATGGATGCTGAGCATGACCCAGAATCCACGTGCACTTAGGCTAGGGTGAAGACCAGTATAGCTTCCCAGTGTAGCTGAGAATTACGGAGTGCTCAGGCCAGACCAGGCCAGCTAACTGTGGAGAGGTAAGGGACTTCGAAGGATGTACATTAAAGAATGCAGAGAAATTTGCTAGGACTGGGGTGAGGAGCTAGAGCCAAATCAGAACTTGGCACATCTGGAAAGTTAGTTCATTCATCTAGTGCCTTGACTGGCTGTGAAGGATGCAGAGGGCTTGCCAGGCATGGGGTTGGGGAGTGCAGCCAAAGCAAAACTTGGCATGTCGGGAAAGCTGCATCCAGCATTTATGTGAGTAGGTGTGAAGATTTTGCTGAAATTTGTGGGAGAACACGATGCCTTTGGGGTGAGGATATTATGCAAACACCACGTGCCGTTGGCAACACTTTCACAAGCACTGCGGACAGTGATTGACATGAGAGCATAGGGATCTTCCAGGACATGAATGCCTGCCTGTA